CGGCGTGACGAGCGAACGCTTTAACCACTGGACTACCCCACCACCCCTGCTGGAACACTAAGTAACATTTAGCACTACACTTGGATATGACACTCGGACACAGTACACAGACCCCAAGCCCTCCATTCCTTGTTTCATCCCCGTGATCCTGCACCAGGCAGGGTAACAATAAATACCGTATGTTAACTTGGTTGGGTATAAGTCTCTCCGGCACTCTATCCCCTAGGCCAAAGAGGCAGACCCAAGAAACATACCTGCAAGAGTCAACGTTTCTTGGCCCATAGTGTGACGAGTGAACTGTAGCATGCAGTACCCCTTCCCCAACACTACAGTAGGGTATCTTCGCAATGATTATATTTTAGGGTATAAACAGTTATCGAAAAAGGTCATCTGTCTATAGGTACACTGCAATTTATGTATAGCGGATCCCAAAATTTTGTTTGGTTCTTTTAAACGAATTAAATGGTAACCATCCATCCATCCATCCTCCAATCCACACATCCATTCATCCATCATCCAATCCACCCATCCATTCATCCATCCACCCGCCAATCCACCAATTCACCAATCCACCCATACATCCACCCAAGCCCATCCATCTACTCATCCATCCACCCAATCATCCACCCATACATCCATCCATCTACTCATCCATCCACCCATCCATCCATCCACCCACCCATCCATCCATCTACTCATCCGCCCACCCATCAATCCATCTACTCATCCACCCACTCATCCATCCATCTACTCATCCATCCACCCATCCATCCTTCCACCCACCCATCCATCCATCTACTCATCCGCCCACCCATCCATCCATCTAAACATCCATCCACCCATCCATCCACCCATCCATCCACCCAATCATCAATCCATCCATCCAATGACGAAGATAGGTAAGGTGTTTACCTGTTCAGTTGCTCTGCCACCGTGGCCAGGACAGTTTGGAACAGTTCTGTTTCTCCTGAGAAAGAAAGAAAGTTGATCAGTAAGTAAGTGGGTTTTCTGTAATTCCGATTTGCACAATATTCCAGTTATATCACGGCGTGCCCGGTAGATACGGGACGATACGTTTGACGTTTACCACGTTTGATCAAACCCACGGGCATAGTACTGAAACACCTGGTACATTAAGTGAGTGAGTGAGTTAGTTTTACGCCGCTTTTAGCAATATTCCAGCAACATCACGGCGGGGGACACCAGAAATGGGCTTCACACAGTGTGCCCATGTGGGGATTCGAACCCGGGTCGTCTGCGTGACGAGCCGACGCTTTAACCACTAGGCTACCCCACCGCCCCCTGGTGCATAAAGAATGATGATACTTTTTATGATATACAACTTCTTTATTCTGTATAGGCTACGTTTCGACATAGACTCTATGTCGAAAAATCGCCTTCCACTGAATAAAGAAGTTGTATATCCATAAAAATTGTCATGATTCTTTATCACCCCGACTTCTAAAATGCCCATCAAGGAAACCTGGTACATAATCAGAGTGAAGCGTGATTCGAAACAGAGACGAATGCTTCGTGTCAAAGTTAGCACCACAGAGACAATGATCTGCGCATTTGCATCACGGAACTACAACAATACAAGGATGACTGGGCAACTAGAGAAGTACAAGGATGACTGGGTAACTAGAGAAGTACAAGGATGACTGGGTAACTAGAGAAGTACAAGGATGACTGGGTAACTAGAGAAATACAAGGATGACTGGGTAACTAGAGAAGTACAAGGATGACTGGGTAACTAGAGAAGTACAAGGATGACTGGGTAACTAGAGAAATACAAGGATGGCTGGGTAACTAGAGAAGTACAAGGATGACTGGGTAACTAAAAAAGTAAAAGGATCGCTGGGTAACTAGAGAAATACAAGGATGACTGGGTAACTAGAGAAGTACAAGGATGACTGGGTAACTAAAGAAGTAAAAGGATCGCTGGGTAACTAGAGAAGTACAAGGATGACTGGGTAACTAGAGAAGTACAAGGATGACTGGGTAACTAGAGAAATACAAGGATGACTGGGTAACTAGAGAAGTACAAGGATGACTGGGTAACTAGAGAAGTACAAGGATGACTGGGTAACTAGAGAAATACAAGGATGACTGGGTAACTAGAGAAATACAAGGATGGGTACTAGAGGAAAACTAAGGGATGACTGGGTAACTAGAGAAGTACAAGGATGACTGGGTAACTAAAGAAGTAAAAGGATCGCTGGGTAACTAGAGAAATACAAGGATGACTGGGTAACTAGAGAAGTACAAGGATGACTGGGTAACTAGAGAAATACAAGGATGACTGGGTAACTAGAGAAATACAAGGATGACTGGGTAACTAGAGAAGTACAAGGATGACTGGGTAACTAAAGAAGTAAAAGGATCGCTGGGTAACTAGAGAAGTACAAGGATGACTGGGTAACTAGAGAAGTACAAGGATGACTGGGTACTAGAGAAATACAAGGATGACTGGGTAACTAGAGAAGTAGAAGGATCACCGGGTAACTAGAGAAGTATAAGGATCGCTGGGTAACTAGAGAAGTACAAGGATCACCGGGTAACTAGATAAGTAGAAGGATCACTGGGTAACTAGAGACAAAACAAGGATCACTGGGTAACTCCATTGCAAAGGGCACTAATCACCTACAGATAGTGCAAATGTCACTGGGCAATTCCAGATAATACAAGTTCAACTGGGTGCTCTCCTTGATACATGCAACAGTGTCATGCATATGATAAGAGGAACGAAAGTTGATGTGATGATGCCAAGCACACGAGGCAAGACGAGAAGCATAGCGTAACGACCATGTGGTATTATTGGGGGTACCGGGGATTTTGTATGGAGAGGTCGTTTTTTGAGCTACATCTGCACAACCAGGTCGATCTATTTAATTAAAAATATGAGTTTGAATATAAAAAAAATTAAAAATCGATAAAATCCCAGTCTCCAAGGTTCACACGGCTCCAGGAATATAGCATGGTCGATACCCAGTAAGAGTGTTTAGTTGTGTACAAACCAGTTTGTTGCACCTGGGGCTCCTTTATCGTCACTTGGTAAGAGTTTCTGGAAAAAAAATAAAACAAATCTTATCAACATTCGGGTACCTACATAAAGAGTGAGTGAAAGTGTGTGGTTTGAGTCGCTTTCAACAATATTCCACCAAAGGGGACATCAAAAGAATACTCTTCACTCCTTTCACTTATGTGGGGAATTGAATAGAAGCGATAAAACTCTTTCTACATCCATAAGAAAACTCTGCGAAAAGCAGAGTCGATTGTAGAATTGTGGCAATATCATGAGTATATATTTGTTTCAGTAATATGGCAGCTGCAGGATGTTGTTTGTAAACAAATCGAGTCTGGAAAAGACAATCCGGACTTTGGCTGGACAAGCGAACGGTGTACCCACAAGGCAAAGCTGTCATGACAGTCACACTGAAAGGAGCTCGTGTTAAAAGTGCACACACACTACTCACACTTTGCTAAGGATCACAAAAATCCACAACTGTACTTACACCTAGATTCATAATTTGAAATTGTATCCATTTAAAACTGGATAAATTATTATATGGTTACCCCTCTTTAGGCAAACAGACACTTTAATGTAATCTTATGCACTTGATACATGAGTAACCATAAAAATGGTTTTCATGGCACCAGTCAGCCATTTTGCAAATCATGGCCACGAGTCATTGACAAGAACACAACACCTGTCAATAGCAGGTATGGGATCCACAAGATACAATGATACAATGACACACTGAAACCTGGGATCCATGCTTACAACAAGCTTAGATATTTAAATCCAATTTGACCCCACATCATAGTGTCTGTTAAATCCATAATTTGATCCCTAGCAAACTGTGAATAGTATATACAAGAGTAAATTTATTCTAAATTTGGATCCTCTGGAAAAGTTCTGGAAGTTCTGGACTGAGGATGAGCGAAAAATTCTCCCCTTGGGTGAGTGAGTTTAGTTTTACGCCGCACTCAGCAATATTCCAGCTATATGGCGCGGTCTGTAAATAATCGCGTCTGGACCAGACAATCCGGTGATCAACAACATGAGCATCGATCTGCGCAATTGGGAACCGATGACATGTGTCAACCAAGTCAGCGAGCCTGACCACCCGATCCCGTTACTCGCTCTCCCCTTGGGTATTTCTTGATAAGACAATCCGGTGTGAAAAAGTGTGTTTTGGTTCGTTTCTCCTAACGAGCCAAAAGGCCTCCAAATGTTAACTATCGCCACTGGCTGCAATGACCACCATCGCCGACACCGACTCCCCTACGACGGATTAGACGCTCGCATTACACAGCTCGCCGCGAGCTGAACACATCAAGATTACCCATACTCTGACAGGTGAAGCAGCGCTGGTTGGAACTGATTAAAGATACTTGTATCACGTAATCAGAATAACTTTAACTAAAGTCTGTTTGCTGTGAAAACGTACCGATGAATTTCACTTTAAACCCAAAAGTAAAACAAATAAAGTGAAATCAAGACTGCGAATCCTCATAATTTACCTTGCCAATTCAACATTTAAATATCAGAATATTTTTCAACTTAGGATAAAAGTTGTTTAACAAACGGTAATAGTTTCACATGGCTATCATTGGTTTGTATTACAAGAGGGTATGCACATTAAATGAAACACCGAGAACGAGTAGGGCAGTTCTAAGTTAACGCTCTTCACGTACCGCACGTGCATTTGTTTCACTGTTCCAACTACTGCGCTTACCCCATTGTAATACAAATCAGTAAAAGCGATTTGAATCTATGTTAAACAACTTTTTTCCTAAGTTGAATAAAATTCTGAGATTTAAATGTTCAATTCGCAAGGTAAACTTATGAGGTTTGGCAATCTTAATGTCACTTTGTTTTATTTACTTTTTGGTTTAAAGTGAAATTAAGCGGCACGTTTTGGCTGCAAACAGACAACAGTCCGTTTGCGACAAAATGATACCGATGAATTGCAATCTAACACAAAAACAAATATAGACATAAAAGAATCAAACCAACGCGGACTGCAATAAAAACAACAGACCAACTCTAGAATTGCATAATTTTTGTCACAAAAATAAAAAAGTTGTTTAAGAAACTGTCATCATTTATTTGTGCGTTTTCCCAGTTTGTGACAAGGGCGCAGTGGCAACTAAAGGAACAGCGCGAAAAGCGAGATGCACGTGCATTAGTGACGTCAGAGACATGTGATTACTGCTGATTGACAAAGTGAGAAAAAATGAAAGTTTATTATTTACAAAGTCTATGAAATTTTCAAGGATGAAAATGACAGGGGGTGACCCAAGTATACAATTACTAAGTGCATACAGCGCACTGCCTGTGCAGCTGGGGTACGTGTCATCTCGCCAGCTCAAAAGTTTGTTGAGAACCCGTTAACGCACGTGCATCTCGCTTTTCGCGCTGTTCCTTTAGTTGCCAATGCGCCCTTGTAACAAACTGGGAAAACGCACAAATAAATGATGACAGTTTCTTATTTTGTGACAAAAATTATGCAATTTTCTTCTAGAGTTGGTTTGTTGTTTTTATTGCAGTCCGCGTTGGTTTGATTCTTTTATGTCTATTCGTTTTTGTGTTAGATTGCAATTCATCGGTATCATTTTGTCTCAAACTGTACACTCTGGTACATTCCCTGACGCACCCTTTACCTGGTAGTGTAATTATGCAATCACCCTGTGTGTTTAATCAAGATAACATTTGATAGACATCCATCTCACTGTTCCTGTTTCGACATTTACTTGTTCAATGAGCCAATTTGTTCTATCATTGTCTGCATGTGGTTCCAATAAGAAATAGATAAATAAACACATTAAGACATATAGAGCACGTAAACGCCCGTTCACGGATTTCTTGGATTGTGATCTTCAATGAAAATAATAATAGAACCTCAAGAAACATTGATTCTTTTATCAATGCTTTACAGATTTGAATAGTTATCCGGTAAGGCTCATCATCAGCTCAGGGCTGTTGCCCCTTCTTCACGCAGCCCAGACAGCGAACGGGACTTTTCCCAGGAAGTGCTGTCTAGTCGAACCCACCAAGAACGTTTCAGGGAATATGTGGATTCCCCAACACTGCAGCCTTCTGCATTACCCAGAGTGTCAGAAGGGCTGTACTCCCGGTGGAGAACCCCGGGCACTCTCCTGATCTGCGCCAAGCTAGAGATCAGGAGGTACCGAACCAAGGGCACCGAACGCTGGGGAGCTTGACAACATTGTACTGGGAACGTTATTATCATTATTATTATTATTGTTATTGTTGTTCGGGCATATACTCACGTTGCTGTATTGGACGGCATCGCTGACGACACTGAAATGTGAGCTCCATTTACGTCTTTTACGGTGATGGTGGCGTTGCTGAAAAAGACATTAATTATCAATAGACAGAATTGAACAAGATACGAGGTACTGAACTCAACTCACACGTTGTTCGTAAGAGTGCATTCGTCCGACAAAACCGTTCAATGTTAATTGTGTAATTCCGAATATACCGTTACAATGTGTTTTCGAATCGCAGTGACATAGTGGCGATACGATACAGCCGACATGTTGACTAGGGTGTAATTTAGTTTTACGCCGCTTTTAGAAATATACCAGCAATATCATGGACGGGTACACTAGAAATGGGATTCACATTTTGAACCCATGTGGAGAATCGAACCCGGGTCTTCGGCGTGACGAGAGAAAGCTTTAACCACAAGGCTAACCCACTGTCCCTACCCAGAAAGAAAACCAAGGGCAAGTGTATCGTTCTCCTGACAAAAAGACGGATACATTGAATGAATGAATGAATGAATGAATGAATGGATGGATGGATGATGGATGGATGGATAGATGGATGGATGGATGGATGAATGAATGAATGAATGAATGAACGAATGATGAATGAATGAATGAATGAATGAATATTGCTTTACGCCGCACCAGTAATTGCAATGAGGAAGTTTGTCGTTGATGAGTAAAAATAAAAAAAATTCTCGACATGCCTATTATAAACCTACAATAAAAGTAAAAGGTTCACCAAGGCTTTGAAGGTTGTTCCCCTGATGAAACAACTTTTGAATTATAGTCTCATGGCGCTTTTCTAAATCTCCCTCGAGAGATCATCATCGATTGCACCTAAACCGTTTTGAAATGTAGCCATTAAAGGTTTGAACCGCTTGAAATAGTCATGAGAAATACGAGATTGCATGTATTTCTTCTGAGCGCATCATGGCGTCTCTCTAAGTGGGTCAGACGATAGTCAGTATATCAACCTTAATCCTCAATGTAAAATAAATGGATATTTTGGTGTAATGTTCGATTTCTTTATTTAATAACTTTCTATAGAAGCGGACAATACTCTGTTGTCATGGCAACAAATATTTTGCCGATCTCTGTTATCCTTGCTATTCAACCTCCTTACAGTGAAACGTCATCGTGTTAAGTCTATTAGCAATACATTTATATGTACGCGATGCGCAGAGCCTGCACAAAGAGGCACTTTGTCATATCCATTTCCGTTTGTTTTCAAATTGTTGTAACTGATAAAAATTAATAAATTCGTCTTTGGATAAAAGTATTATTCTGTTACTGAAATCTTTTAGGGAGATTTGCGCAGCCTCCTGAAAGGCAGCCATTGTCTACCTGGCAGTATGTCATCGATAGAGACCCGACGGAAAGACTCGTTTCCAAGGGACCCATTCTTCAGACTTCCAAGTGGAGACAAGCGTTGTCAACCAGGTAACCAGTCAAACCTGAAGGCCTCACGGGGAGACAATCGTTGTCAACAAGGTAAGCAGTCATACCTGAAGACCTCACGGGGAGACAAGCGTTGTCAACCAGGTAACCAGTCATACCTGAAGACCTCACGGGGAGACAAGCGTTGTCAACAAGGTAACCAGTCATACCTGAAGACCTCACGGGGAGACAAGCGTTGTCAACCAGGTAAGCAGTCATACCTGAAGACCTCACTGGGAGACAAGCGTTGTCAACAAGGTAACCAGTCATACCTGAAGACCTCACGGGGAGACCAGCGTTGTCAACAAGGTAAGCAGTCATACCTGAAGACCTCACGGGGAGACAAGCGTTGTCAACAAGGTAAGCAGTCATACCTGAAGACCTCACGGGGAGACAAGCGTTGTCAACCAGGTAACCAGTCATACCTGAAGACCTCACGGGGAGACAAGCGTTGTCAACCAGGTAACCAGTCATACCTGAAGACCTCACGGGGAGACAAGCGTTGTCAACAAGGTAACCAGTCATACCTGAAGACCTCACGGGGAGACAAGCGTTGTTAACAAGGTAAGCAGTCATACCTGAAGACCTCACGGGGAGACAATCGTTGTCAACAAGGTAAGCAGTCATACCTGAAGACCTCACGGGGAGACAATCGTTGTCAACAAGGTAAGCAGTCATACCTGAAGACCTCACGGGGAGACAAGCGTTGTCAACAAGGTAACCAGTCATACCTGAAGACCTCATGGGGAAACAATCGTTGTCAACCAGGTAAGCAGTCATACCTGAAGACCTCACGGGGAGACAAGCGTTGTCAACAAGGTAACCAGTCATACCTGAAGACCTCACGGGGAGACAAGCGTTGTCAACCAGGTAAGCAGTCATACCTGAAGACCTCACGGGGAGACCAGCGTTGTCAACAAGGTAACCAGTCATACCTGAAGACCTCATGGGGAGACAATCGTTGTCAACCAGGTAACCAGTCATACCTGAAGACCTCACGGGGAGACAATCGTTGTCAACAAGGTAACCAATCATACCTAAAGAGGCCTCACGGGGAGACAAGCGTTGTCAACAAGGTAACCAGCCATACCTGAAGACCTCACGGGGAGACAAGCGTTGTCAACCAGGTAAGCAGTCATACCTGAAGACCTCACGGGGAGACAAGCGTTGTCAACAAGGTAACCAGTCATACCTGAAGACCTCACGGGGAGACAATCGTTGTCAACAAGGTAACCAGTCATACCTGAAGACCTCACGGGGAGACAAGCGTTGTCAACAAGGTAAACCAGTCATACCTGAAGACCTCACGGGGAGACAATCGTTGTCAACAAGGTAACCAGTCATACCTGAAGACCTCACGGGGAGACAAGCGTTGTCAACAAGGTAACCAGTCATACCTGAAGACCTCACGGGGAGACAATCGTTGTCAACAAGGTAAGCAGTCATACCTGAAGACCTCACGGGAGACCAGCGTTGTCAACAAGGTAAGCAGTCATACCTGAAGACCTCACGGGGAGACAAGCGTTGTCAACCAGGTAACCAGTCATACCTGAAGACCCTCACGAAGACAAGCGTTGTCAACCAGGTAAGCAGTCATACCTGAAGACCTCACGGGGAGACCAGCGTTGTCAACAAGGTAACCAGTCATACCTGAAGACCTCACGGGGAGACAATCGTTGTCAACCAGGTAACCAGTCATACCTGAAGACCTCACGGGGAGACAATCGTTGTCAACAAGGTAACCAATCATACCTAAAGAGGCCTCACGGGGAGACAAGCGTTGTCAACAAGGTAACCAGCCATACCTGAAGACCTCACGGGGAGACAAGCGTTGTCAACCAGGTAAGCAGTCATACCTGAAGACCTCACGGGGAGACAAGCGTTGTCAACAAGGTAACCAAGGTAACCAGTCATACCTGAAGACCTCACGGGGAGACAATCGTTGTCAACAAGGTAACCAGTCATACCTGAAGACCTCACGGGGAGACAAGCGTTGTCAACAAGGTAACCAGTCATACCTGAAGACCTCACGGGGAGACAATCGTTGTCAACAAGGTAACCAGTCATACCTGAAGACCTCACGGGGAGACAAGCGTTGTCAACAAGGTAACCAGTCATACCTGAAGACCTCATGGGGAAACAATCGTTGTCAACAAGGTAAGCAGTCATACCTGAAGACCTCACGGGGAGACAAGCGTTGTCAACAAGGTAACCAGTCATACCTGAAGACCTCACGGGGAGACAATCGTTGTCAACAAGGTAGCCAGTCATACCTGAATACCTCATGGGGAAACAATCGTTGTCAAGAAGGTAAGCAGTCATACCTGAAGACCTCACGGGGAGACCAGCGTTGTCAAGAAAATGGGTGTCTGGTATGATGGGATGGTCATGAATGTTAACCTTTTAGCGCCATATCGTTGCTCCATGGCAGTTTGAAAAAAATACCCAATCGACAGCACACAAAATCAGCCATCTAACCCACTCAGCCACCGAGGCTGGCGATTACGTGTCTGAGTCTGAGAGTGTGGGTTCGAATCCCGAGCGGAACTCCACCAAACAAAAGTACTAGAATCTGTACTTTACCGAGTGCAATCCCAAATATAACTAGTGTTGAATTTTCAACACCTTGAATTTTAAACTTAATAGTTAATGCGTTGAGTTTTCCGCCACTTTGTATCTTGACTTTTCAAGAGATCAAGAAAACCTATAGCTATAATCCCTATAATGGGCTTCTGTTGATAATTTCCCCTCAAAGCTGCTGTTGACGCTAGTAGTGTGGCAGGGCCTCTGATAGCTCCTTTTGTAATCACCTTTGCTGTTGTCCGCTTCTGTAGTGAACAGCCCATTGTTGTCAGGTAGAATTACCACGGCTCTTCACTGCTCTCTCGGAAAGCATTAATCAAAGGCACTAGATGACTGCTATAATATTTTCATTAACCGTTATCTGGCGGCGGGCGTGTTTAGCAGACATTTCACTTTGATCCGTTTTAACTGTAGGGCTTCGAGAACGCCGGACGAAGACTGCTTGAGGTGCTTGTGTTCATCTGATCTCAGATACACATTCTCTTAGTGACTGACATAAAAGTGAGTGAGTTTGCTATAACGCTGTATTTAGCAACGTTACGGATTGGGACAGCAGAAATTGGCTGCATTCTATTTTGCGAATAGAACCCGGACATTGGCGTTACGGGGGGACGTGTAAGTGTTTGACACGATCACCTGAACGGTATATGTGCCGTTAAACCTAGGATGGTAATTGTGCATATCGGATATTTCAATGACAATGACAAAAAGGATCCTGGAACGGACAAGGGACGCAACTATCCAGCTCGTAGCTCAGTAAAAAAACAGTCTTCAAGCGCAGTCTTCTTTTATATACGATGTGTGGGGCGGTGGTTTAGCCTAGTGGTTAAATCGTTCGCTCGTCACGCCGAAGACCCGGGTTCGAGTCCCCACATGTGATATTACTGGAATATTGCTGGCTTATCTCGGACATTAAGCTGACAAACATTGATGTTATGGGGGATTTCCGCTTAACGTTGTTTAAAACAGTCGGTTTGTTTGTGAGAAAAACCCAACTATTGGAACAGCAGAGACCTTAAAAGTGGCTTAGTTTACGAGATACCCATTGAATAATG